TATTATATTATAGTTAAAATATTTAGTTTGTACAAATGTTATAGATATTTATATTTTTTTCACAAATTATTACTTAAAAATAAAAACAAAAAAATCAAATTAATATTTTCAATGCAAAATTACGTATTTCAGTACGTGTAGATATAGTGTATGATGTATAATATATAATATATAATGTATAATTCCTAATATATAATCTTTATATTGTAGACAATTAAGCATAAATAAATAATATTTGGCATAATTTTGATATAATTATCCAGTGACTACTTGACAATGACTAATGAAAATAGCGCACGTTCTATTTCAATAAAACAATATTAGTCATGACTGAAGACAAAAATGTTTTGTTTTGATTACGCTTTATCAGTGTGAGTGTTCTCCATAAAATATAAAGGTTTTATTTTTGATTAGTCATAATAAAGCGACTTAAGTCACTTTGAAACAGTTTTGCTTTACCTGTGTTCGGTCACCCTAAGAGGACGCCACACCCGCATGTGTTGTCTCCGTCTAACGTACAACATGGCCAAAACTGTTTTGCGTTCCACCAAATACTATATATACTATATACGATTACGATATATCGTATATTATAGTATTTGGTGCCACTCAAGCTGTGGTTCAAGCTAAGCAACCAAATGTTAACATTACAAACAAAAAAAAAACATTTGCTGTGCAGCACGGTTTTTTATTTTCTCCATATCACAAATACACGAGAAGTTCTTATTGCTTAAAAATGCATTATTTCATACTTGAATAACTTTTGTTGTATTTGTGATATCAAAATAATAAAGACTATGTTGCACAGTAAATCTTCTCCTCTTAATAGTAAGAAAAATCGGTTGCTCAGCTTGGACGACAACAGCTTGAGTACTGAGTAGTTGAGTGGTTCTATTTCGAGCAAAACAGTTTTTGCCATGTTGTACGTCTATAAGACGGAGACAACAGATTTTGTATGTGTATCGTTCTCTGCGCAAAGAGATTATACAAAACGTATTTTGTGTGATAACAAACTCGACGTCCGTCATCTATTTTGGCGCCAATTGATAATGGAATACTATCGTGTCATGGCTTGGAGCACGCTTGTAGCGCAGATATATTAATAATGTACTTATAAATCTGTCATCTGTGGGTTGTAGACATGATTAGAGATTAATATATACCTATTCACTATTCAGTAGTTCAGTTTAGTATTTAATCGTGGTTGTAGATATTCTACAGTACACACATTGTTTCCATATCTACAAAATTTACAACCGTGGTGTGGAGTGCTGTACACTGGCATTGCGGTCATCCATATTTCAACTGAGTTGGTAGTTCGATAAATTATCATTTAAAGTATTTAGAAGTGAGTTGTGAGTACTGGCTACAACTGTTTATTGAGTTCTGACCGACAAGTGACAACTTACTTGTTACTGATTATAGTTACACCTTACACCAAACACGTGCGTTTTAGATACTGTCGCATCCTACCTGTTCTGATTCATACCTGCCGCACAACCATCGTCGACCATTTGCCTACAAAATGTCCAAAAAACCGATTAATCATTTGAACCTGGGTAAGTTGATACTTCGATTTATGAGACACTTAAACTGCACCGACCAGCAGATACGCTTTGTTTGCCAGACATAACAAAATAATATATATATCAGCTGAAAAATTTTGATTTACCAGTGAAACACAACACCGAGATTGTGATGTATACCAGTGGGCATGTAAATGATGTGACAAATGCCCGTTGGTAGTGTTAGTCCAACCCTTGATTAAGAACCCAGGCTTAAAGATTTTAACTTGCTCCTGTTAAGGCTTATATTCATTAGGTATGTTTTATGAAAATTTAAAAATTGTATATCCTAGATAAGGGAAAAAAAATTTTTAAGAGATTTTCCGCATGCCTGAGTACATCTTACATGGTTTCTCAATTCTCAGACTATTATTTCATGATTATGAAATTGTTAGTATATTTTACCACTTTTCTTTTTCATTTGTGGCTACTCCACATTGAAAAACCAATTTCTCAGTGATCACCACCCCTCTCCCCCGCCAATAGCCCTAGGCATAACTTTCCTTTGCACGGCTTGTTTAAATAGCTACTACCTGACTACTTTTTATCATTATCAAGCTATATTAAGCTACATATTAAACTGTATTTCTTATGTATGTTGTTATAATATCTGAATAATATGTATGTGCACGACTGTCGGCATCAACTATACATTGTTATTTGATTTTATCCTACAAACCCAATTTTAACACACGCTAGTCTTATGAGTATCATAATAGTATACTTGTTTCTACATTTTTCAAATAATACTAATTAGACATTGACTAGGAATGTTTAATCCGTATTTAACATGTTCAAATGTAATTTGAATATGTTAATATTTATTTAGTAATTGAATAATTGTACCTATTATTTTATTAAATGTATATTATCCATGCTTCTATCACACTATCTTATGTTTAATGTTTATATATTCTTTATTTTCTTTCAGATCCAGAACAGCAAAAGACATTTGTTCGGTTTCATAAATCACTACCTGATGTAAGATGACATTTTTAAATTATGAGTATCCATTTGTTCTAGTTTATAATATTTGTATTAATTAAAGAAAAGAAAATTATATATTTTAATGAAAAAAAAATAATAAACAATTTTAGTATAGGTACTAATAATATTTTTATAAATGTATACATCTCAATACAATAAATTACTAAAATAAATACATTTGACAAATTTTTAAATACATCTTAAATATTTACATATTGTAGAATAATTTTACATTTAGTAAAACAAAAAACAACAAAACAACTTAAAATAAATTTGTATAACTTTTAAGATATTATTAGGTATATTTTAAACAAAAAGGAATAATGTTTAACACGGGTTTCCAGTTATACTTGAAAAGCCTACTTTATCATTAATATTAGATGCTAACTGTTGGGCTTTGTTCTTTGCATTTTCAATGGTACCTTTAAACTTATCTCCAATTTTTCTCCAAACTGAAGATGGTGTAGATGGATTTTCTAAGAAATGATCATTATTTGAAGTCTGATTTTCAATTGTATCTTGTTGTACGACTAATTTTGAATCTGTTTTTAATGATTTAGAAAAGGCTATTTCAGATTCTGGTTCTATATATTGTGTGTTTTCATTTATGGTTTTTGAAAAGTGGGACTCTTGTTGACTTGTTTGCACAGGCATGCTTTTTACATTATGGTTAGTTGAATAAGCTGTTTGAACATTGCCTTTGTTTATGTTCACTGTGCTTTTTGCACCAAGAATTTCATGCTCCAATTGACCTAATTTATCAAAGACACTATTGTATTTAGAATTAATAGGTTCATTATTACCTGTTGATAATTGTCCAGTTTGTGACGACAATTTTGATGATTGAAAGTCTATATTCCCATATTGTTTTTGGTATGTTGGTTTGTGTCCTTCAAAATCACTTGTATAGTCAATAGTTTGTTGTCCTTTAAATGCTGGATTTTTCATTGAGTGATCATGATGCGTTTGGTAATTATTAGAATGCACATTTCCTTGATAACCATCAACGTCAGTTTGTAACTGATCTGCACTACTTAAATTAATATTTTTTTCTATTGTGCTTTGACTTTCAAACACTCCTATACTTTGCTGACCAACATATTTATTACTATTCATATTTTGTTGACCAGGTGCTCTTATATATTCTGTGGGTTGTTCTCTAAGTACTCCTAAATCCAATAATTGTGATGTTCCACCATAATTTGATTTGAAAAACTCTGATCCTTGAATTTGTTGTCCTGAAATCGGTTGCGAGAAAATTTGTTGACCTGTCCCATATTGTTGACTTGATTTGTCATTTACATTAAAGTTCACTGTCTGTTGTCCTACCAAATCTTGTTTATTTTGATAAGATGATTCAATTTTCTCAAATTGTTGACCAATTGGTTTATTTGGTGCATATAAATTGCTAATGTCTACAGACTGTTGTCCTATTTGAGATGGATTTGAATATCCGTGTAAGTCTACTGATTGTTGACCTACTTCTTCTTGTGTTTGTGTAGAAAATGACTCAATTTTTTCAAATTTTTGACCAATCGGTTTTTTTTTCGGAGCATATTGATTGCTAATGACTACAGACTGTTGTCCTATTTGAGATGGATTTGAATATCCGTGTAAGTCTACTGATTGTTGACCTACTTCTTCTTGTGTTTGTGTAGAAAATGACTCAATTTTTTCAAATTTTTGACCAATCGGTTTTTTTGGTGCATATTGATTGCTAATGTCTACAGACTGTTGTCCTATTTGAGATGGATTTGAATATCCGTGTAAGTCTACAGATTGTTGACCAACTTCTTCCTGTGTTTGTGTTGAAAATGACTCAATTTTTTCAAATTTTTGACCAATCGGTTTTTTTGGTGCATATTGATTGCTAATGTCTACAGACTGTTGTCCTATTTGAGATGGATTTGAATATCCGTGTAAGTCTACAGATTGTTGACCAACTTCTTCCTGTGTTTGTGTTGAAAATGACTCAATTTTTTCAAATTTTTGACCAATCGGTTTTTTTGGTGCATATTGATTGCTAATGTCTACAGACTGTTGTCCTATTTGAGATGGATTTGAATATCCGTGTAAGTCTACAGATTGTTGACCAACTTCTTCCTGTGTTTGTGTTGAAAATGACTCAATTTTTTCAAATTTTTGACCAATCGGTTTTTTTGGTGCATATTGATTGCTAATGTCTACAGACTGTTGTCCTATTTGAGATGGATTTGAATGTCCGTGTAAGTTTACTGATTTTTGACCTACTTCTTCCTGTGTTTGTGTTGAAAATGACTCAATTTTTTCAAACTTTTGACCAATTGGTTGTTTTTGTGTGGAAATATGATCCATATTAACTGGTACTTGACCAACTGGTGAAAAATTTGAGTTAAGTGCTTGTTGTTTGAATCCTTGATTTGTGAAAGAAGTACTGCACCTTTCATCACAGTTAGTTTCATCTTTTGTGTTTGAACCAAATGAGTTGCCATTAAGCGGAATAGCAGTTTCTGATTGTTTTTTATTATTAAATACTTGAGAACTAATTGGGCTGATTGGATTTGATGTATATTTTTGGTTGTTAAAAAATGTGTTGTAACCATTGAATTTTTCTGTGTCCCCTTGTGTAAATTTTTGTGGCAAATAAGTATTTTTCTCAGTATTAGTATCTTTAATTAATGTTGGATGAGCACTAATTACACTAGATGATGAATATTCTTTTTTGAAACTTTTTGAATACCCATTTGGAAATTGTTTAGTTTCTTCGAATTCTGTTGCATGACCATTTTGACCATCAGTGTTGGTAACAATTTCTTTTTTTACTTGAGTAACAATGTTGCCATTCTGGTCTCTAAACGTTGATGTAACTCCAGGTGTATTTGTCAAACTTTGATCTACTGTAGATTTAAAATTTGATTTAATTCCCATGTTTCCTACATTAGCAGGTATTGATTGTCCTTGATAACTTTGGGAAGATTGCCCGTATGAACTCGACTCTCCATTCAATATTTGTTCACTATTGTAATATTTTTCTGTGTTGAATGGTTTTTGAACAAATGTAGGTTGAGATCCTATCACGCTAGATGACGAATATTCTTTTTTGAAACTTTTTGAATATCCATTTGGATTTTGTTTACTCTCTTGGATTTCAAATGCATGAGAGCTTTGGCCGTTTTCCTTATTATAAGTTTCTTTTTTTACCTGAGTCACAAGATTTCCATTTTGATCTCTGTATGTTGTGGTAATACCTGGAGTATTTTTTAAGCTTTGGTCAACTGTTGAACCTGACTGTAAATTGAATTTAGTTTCCATATTTCCAAAATCTGAGTTAATAGGAAACAGAGATTCGTGGTGTGAAGAATCGCTCTGTTGATAATCAGATGAAGTTGTTTTTAATCCATTTAATATTGGGCTGGCATTTGTTGACAATCCAAGACATAACAGCAAATACAATTTGCAAACCTGAAATGTTAATTTTTAATTATTTTTAAGTAAACATTAAATTAAACTGTATGTATAATATTTTATTAAATGCTAAATTAAATGTATTCTTACTTTAAATGTTGTTTGCATTTTTTAATTTAAGTTATTTGTACTAATAAACTTAAATTAATTGTTGTTATATTAAATACCATTCACATAAACTTGATTGCACAAAGTTAAACCTATTGAATGATTTAAGTTAAAGAATCATCTTGAATTTATAGAATACACTGGCGTGTTTATTTGTTAAAGACTAAAAACCCAATAAATAATAATCATGAATTACGAGGAAATGGAAAATAGTTTGTATTGTTTGGACCTTGAACTGTTATAGATAACCTTAACCCCAAAGTTGTCTGAGAACTATATTTTGTACATAGTCCATTCAATTATAAGTAACAATAATACATTTAATTCCAATATTTTCGTATTGTTACCGACATACGGTTACTTATTTTATAATTACATTCATAGGCTTAATTTTGGTCACATTTTATGGCAGTAACTTTCCATTTTTACTAATAAAACTTATATTTCAACTGACAAAAAAAATTTATATTAATTTGGAGTTTATTGGAAATATATTTACTAAATATTGGTAAAATATAGACTGTTTGTAAACCATACATTTTAACTAAAACAATTAGTACCCACGTAAATGGATCACTGCATGTAATAAAACAAATACTATAGTTTTTAAAATCTACCTATTCATTATTTGTTTAAGAAACTTAAAATTCTAAAAACCATTATAGCAATCTTGGCTGTATTCACAGTTGTTTTTAGTATAATAATAATAATACATTATACCCTGGGTTAATATTTGAAAAGTCAATTTATATGAATTGACATTTAAAAAAAAAATATATATTTCCCTATTTTTTCTGCTTGTTTTTAGAGAATTCTGAACTACAGATTATTAATTTAATTTACTTTTTATTATTTAATTTTTTAATTACATGTTCTATTGGATAAATATAATCAAAAGTTATGCCTACTTAGAGCTTGTAACGTAAAAAAATTATAATCATTGAATTTTAATTGTATTGTGATAAATGTATTAATAATTTTAAATATCCGTCATTTATGATAATTAATGTAAATTTTACACCTTTTGACAAACATTCAATTTAAATATCTGTTTCATACTTTTATTAAAATGTTAAAATATTATCAGTAGATAATTTGAGTATTTAAATTTATTAATATAGTATAATGTTGTATACAAATAAATAGATACTTTAATTTAAAAATAAAATAAATATTTTAGTAGTGACCTAGTGACTTTGACTAATATAATTATGTCCTTGTATTAAATAATTGCTCTTATGTTTTATAACATTTTATCTCTATGAAATGAGTATGTTTAGCCTTTAAATTAAAATGTAAAATCCCAGGTTTCAGTTAAAAGATAATGGTATACAATTAACACATTTTAATCTGTGATGGTATTACCTTGAACTCATGTCTTGGGGTTTTTCATTTTAGAAACCTTTAACTACTATTCGTTTTTTCAATCGGCAAGATTATTATACTGTCCATGGTCAAGATGCTACTTTTGCTGCCAAAGACTTTTACAAAACAAATCATTCGTTAAAAATTATTGGGTCAGGTAATGCTCCTAGTAATTATTTCGTTTTAATCAAGTATTAATAAATCTTAAATAAAAAAAATTGATTTTATTAATTTAGATGATGATACACTGGAATCATTAATATTCAACAAAGCCAATTTTGAAGCATATATAAGACAACTGTTGTTGGTCAGTCATTACAGAGTGGAAATTTTTGTCAATAAAGGTGGAAAATGGGCTCTAGATTACAAAGTATGATAATTTTTGACGATTTTACTCCATAATATCTTAACATTTTTTAACGCAATTTAATATTTTAGGGTTCACCTGGTAATTTATCTCAGTTTGAAGAACTACTGTTTGGAAATGTAGAACAAATTGAAGCAAATATTGTTATTGCATTAAAGCTAAGTCCAGACTTCAGAAATAACAAGGTTTAACTAATTCTATGCACAAACAACTTGATACTATATAATATTTCCAATAAAAACAGATAAATTATTTACCTTTATTTTGAATGTTTAAGATAATTGGATTAGGAGCAGTAGATACGGTGGAAAATAAATTCCAACTAAGTGAATTTACTGATGATGAATATTTTTCTCACACCGAATCAATTGTAATTAAAATTTCGCCAAAAGAATGTATTCTTATGACTGATGGTAGCAATCCTGATGTGGAACAATTGAAAAAAGTAGTAGAACGCTGTGGAGTGCTTGTAACAATGAAGAAAAAGTCTGATTTTGGCACGGATACATTGATACAAGATTTAAACAAGCTTATTATGTTTGAAGAAGGACAGCAACCAAATGCCCACACTTTACCTCAATTACAACTTGAAATTGCTTCTGCTGCAATAGCAGCAGTAATAAAATATCTAGAAGTATGTTATATACTTATATTATTTATGTATCCAATTAACGTAAGACACTCATAATAATTCAAACAACATTTTTCTTTCACATAATTATAATTTATTTCAAAATAATGAATGAAAAAATTATATTTTTCAATTGTTTTTGTCTTTTAAATGACTACCTACATTTTTAATTTTATATTCTAAAGCAGAATATTATTTGCAGTATTTTGTTTTATAAAAATCATATTTCGTACAAGTAGTAAATTAGTTATAACTAGGATTCGGGACTTACAGCATTTTCTTATTGTTATGGTTTGAGTGTTTGACATAAAATGTAGCAGAGGGCCTTGGAAGTATATGTTATGTTACAACACGTTCAACTATGAAATCTGAAAGCTTTATTTTTTGCTTTTTTTCAAAGATTTTTAAAAAAAAAATGCTTATTTCCAGTTTTTCTGATTATTTTTGTTTTTTTGCATATCGCTGCTTTATTATGATCTATGATGCTGTGTGACACTGACAAAAACCTAAACATTTTAGTTAATTTCTGTTCTTTTTAATGGCAAACCTATAAGGCTATAACTAAAAATAATCATTCTCCGTTGTATGATATTTCCTAGTAATAAACCCTAAAACTTGTATTTACTCGCTTACTCACTAATTGGCCAAATTAATCAATTTTATTTTCGGTTATTAGAAATTTGATTTTTGTTGAAGATGAATTTTTTTTAAGTTTTGAAGTAAAAAAATTGAACAAAAATATAAAAAAAACTGTGTTACTTGTTATTGTCTTGCTTTTTTTATGATTACTTCAATATTTCTAAGAGCTTATTTAAGTTTTTATAATAAAGTATTGAAGCAATTTTTTTAGCACTCTTTTTCATGATTATATGTGTTATAAGTCCCAAATCCTGGTTATAAATTTTTCTTATTTAAGCTAAAATGTGATATGCGGAGTGGACAGACATTTTGCAAGGTATATCCCTCTATTAAACTTAAAATACTTGTCCAAAATTTGATTTTTATATATTACACTACTCCAAAAAATACTATGCTTTGGAAGAAGGAATTTTTGATATAATGGTTGTCTTATATTAAGTTTATAACCCAGGATACATACATTGTCTAAAAATTTATTTTATTATGTATTAAAATTGTAAATTACAGTTGTCATCTGATTCGGATAACTTAAATCAATACAGTGTCGATAATTTGGGATATGACAAATTTATTCATTTAGATAGTGCCGGTGTTCAAGCACTTAACCTATTTTCCAATTCCGGTACTATGAACAAAAATGATTCTATTCTTGGAATTTTTAATAAATGTCGATCACCACATGGGCAAAGGTTAGTTGTATTTATTTTGCACAAATGAAACATTAAACCATACTTACTCAGAAAACAAATTTTAAATTTAAATAATCCAATATTTAGATTGTTAACTCAATGGATCAGACAACCATTGAGGGATTTGAATAAAATTAATGAACGTTTGGATATTGTTGAAACCCTTGTTACGGATACAGATATTCGACAACAACTACACGATCAACATTTGCGTACAATACCTGACCTCCAAGCTCTTATGCGCAAGATTCAAAGAAAAAAAGCTAACCTACAAGACTGTTATAGGTATTAAAAATATTTTTTAATGAAATAAAATTAATAATTATTACTAAAAGGAGGGTGTTTAGGCATTTGCATATTTTTTCCTTTAATAATAAAAGTAGCAGAGTAGAACATAATTTTAAATCAACAATAAGAAAAGAAAATATTTATTTTGTAACCTTAAGAATACAAAGGTAAAATATTCATATTGCATACTATGTTTGAACATTTCAAACTTTTTTTTTCAATTCATATTTTTAAAATTTTAGTCTATGTTTTTAAATGTTATTACATATTTTAATTTTTAGCAAATTTTGATATTTTATGGACATATAATGTCGTTTTAAATCAACAATAAGAAAAGAAAATATTTATTTTGTGCAATTTATGATTAATTAGATTTTAATTCAAATATTTTTTATTGGGTCAAAAAGCGTGACAATTTAATACAAGGTTCCTGAAATATTGTTTCAATATTAGTTGAAAAATATAAAAAATATTTTAGCACGACTTTTTTTCGTTAACATTTAAGTTCAAATTTTTTATTTCTAATTTATCACGAATATTGATATTTTATAAGCATATTGTTACATTTTATGGGGCATATTACAAAGCGTATTTTGACCTTTTATAGAGCATATATTCAACTCTTATAACGCATAAAAGTCCGCTCTTTAATTATTGCATTTGTTACTTCATAATTTGTATAATATTACTATATTTGTATTACATGCTGTATGATTTAGGATATATCAAGCAATACAAAAGCTTCCTGACCTTATACAAACACTGAACAATTCAGATAATAAGACTCTGAATTGTGTAATTACAACTCCGTTAAAAGAACTTGTTAACGACATGAATAAATATCAGGAATTGATTGAAGAGACAATAGACTTAAAACTAGTTGAACGAGGCGAGTTTCTTATACAATCTGGATTTGATGACGAATTACAAGAAATGAGAAACCAAATGGATGACTATGAATCAAAAATGAAATCAAATTTGACCAAAACTAGTGGGGCCTTGGGAATTTCTGTGAAATTGGATTCAAATTCACAATATGGATTTTTCTTTAAAGTGTCGTTAAAAGTAATGCACTGTTTATGTGTGTATTGATATTTAAGTATAATTTTCAATTGTGTATGTTATAGGATGCTAAGACTGTCTCAAATAATAAATCATACGAAGTTTTAGATACCACT